GCCTCTGGGGGATAAACAGTAAAACCTTGGTTTGTAAACATAATTCGTTCAAGAAACATTCCTGTAATCGAAGGCATTTGTACATCAAAGCAAGTTTTCTCTCAAAAAAGTAATGGAAACTAAGATGTGCTTCACAACACAAAAATATTCATATAAAAATGCAACAATCATTTTTAATATGATAAATACAAAATAGAAGATAAAACTAATGTGCACTTACTTTTGAAAACCTGGCTAGTATGAGGAAGAGGAGGTATACTGTGTAAGATGACTTTCACTATCAACCATGTAACCATTACTGTAATGAGCTCAATGGCATCTATCCTTGTGCAATTTTTAACAAGGAATCCATGAGACTTGCTTCTCACTTTTGAAGGTTTCACAGAAATGTCCCATTACATTGTTAAACAGATTGAACACTTGTGCTGCTACAGCCTTGTATGAGTGGCGCTTTTCTACAAAATTGTGCACTGTTTTTCTACAGTCTATGTATTTGTCTAATCTCATTTGAAAGATTCATCTGCCTTTTTCTAAAGATGAGGTCGTGGTAACATTGTGTGGGAGATAATCATCCACAATCCAAGTGAGACAGAACCATTGGCTCAGTTGTGGTCATGTGACATTCAGTGTTACATACTAATATTGCAAGCCACTGCTCATTTATCAAGTTAAATTTATTAGACATGCTTTTGTCTTACTTTCCTGACTGCTGAGTCAAAACACCGAATACCCGGAGATAAAAGAGAGTAAGTTTATTTCAGATCAGTCTGTAGGTTTCTGTTCAGTCTTCTGTTTCCAAAGCAAGAGTTGCACGGCAGAGGACAAACAGTCCATACCAGGGAAGGCAAGAAAGTAGCAAGCCTGTCTTTGATGTCTTTATAATCCACCCAAGCTATAAGCCTATTGATGCCACCCACACCTAGTGTGGGGCTTCCATGTTCAGTAAATCCACAGAGCCATACCCAGAACCATGCTATGCCATTTAGTGGGCTAACCGAGTACAACACACTTTTAATCCCAGACAGGGACTCTTACATTACGCATGATTGCAAAACTAGTATCCTATGAATGACAACAGACCAAATACCTATATAAGCTGTACTCAGGCTACTTGAATCAGTGTTACAGTGGCCTCTGAGAAATGAAACGGGAAACTCTCCTATGCAGCCATGTACAAAAAGGTACTCTGAGACTTTTAGGAGTTTAGTTTTAGAACTCTGAGTATCTGATGGGGTGAGATGTCTCAGATGAGATGCTCCAAGCTATTTTTCCTTTTGTTCCAGGGCAAAGTACTTGACTCTTTAATGACACCAAACTCTACCAACCCTGGCAGAACCTTTAAGTGAGCTGCTTTCCTGGTTAATGCCAAGCTTTCCTAATTTTTATATTCTGTTCCCTTCTCCTGATTTTCAAAGTATATGTGGCCAAAGCAGCAAGTAATACCTGTACCACTGCCTGAACAAAGTTTTGCTACTTAAGACTTTTATCCGCAAGATGCCTTTATACTCTTCCTCACACCAAGTTCTGTTATAGTCAGAACATATGCAGAATTTTTTGCCAGTGTGAAAAGGGCGGTCTTTAGTCCAACTTCCATTTGAATCCTTTGCTTCATCTGAAACCTCATGCTCCATCTTTTACTTTATTAAAAATCAGCATTCTGGTCTTCTGAGCGCTCACTAGAATCAACCACTAAGCTCTAGAGCATTCAAGATTTTCTGTACCTTACTTCTTTAAACTTTTTAAAACTCTTGCCATAAACCAGTTTCAAAGGCTTCTGACACAGTCAGGCACAATCACAGCAACAACCTCTCCCTTAGCATCGACTTTCAGTGTCAGCTTTCTAACACTGACAAAATACCTGAGACAACCAACGTAATAAGGGAAAAGGTTTATTTTGGTTCAGTTTCAGTGATTTTTGTGTATCATCACTTGGCCCTGTTGCTCTGGGGCTCTAGTGTACATCATGGAGCACGCAGTGGAAGATACCTATTTATTCATCTTGAGGAACCAAAAAAAGAGACAAGAGGATGCTACCACCCTAATATCACCTTCAATGGCAATGGTCTAACTTTTTTTTTTCCTTATCTCTGTTAACCAAAGCCTCCACCATCTTCCATTAGCAAATATGGGCTAGGCACCAAGCATTCAACACATACGCCTTATGAGACATTCAGCATGCAAACTACCAACACTATGCAACTGGTCACATGGCTCTATCTAACAATAAAGGATAGCAAGTACAGTCCTATCATCTGCTTCTGAAGAGAAATGCACCTAAATACAAACAACCAGTACAACCCACCATCCCATCACCAAATATTTAACATGGATTTAAGACAAAATCATTAAGTTTATACTCCTCAGAAAACTTCTAAAACCTAGTGTTAGGATATGAAGTAGCCAGAGCTCTAACACACTGTTGGAAAAAAATACACCACGGTATAATCCACTTTGAATATATGTACTTATTTTTCTTCAATAAATATTAGTGAAACTGATTAATTTTACGGCGTGTTAGGCATATATTTAATCTTGTAAGAATCTGTTAACTGTTTTCCAGACTGACATCAGTTCATAGCAGCTTTATTCCTAACAGAAAAGACCTGGAAGCAATCCACATATCCCTACGTAGATGAATAAACTGTGGCATAACCACATAAAACAAATAACTTCGCAAAACATTCAAATTCTGGCGGACTTCAGTCTGTTTTGTCTATTGCATTTTGTTTTGACAATCATGTTTAGTTTCAAGAATCTTAATCTCAAATTATTCTTCACACAACATCTCCTTTTTATTCTAATAAAGCAGCCCACATTCATACTTGAAGATATGGTTATAAACCTCTTATTCTTTCATTCATTTTTCAGCAGCAGTTGTGGGTTGTCTAATTGGCCCATGTAAGCTCTTGACTTCTCATATCTAGTGATTAGTATTTAATTTTTATCATTTTTCTTAGCCATGATATATCTCTTTCTTCAGGGATTATGAAGGTTGGTTGGAGGGACCAACCTACATTGATCAGTTCCTTGACAGTGGGCAAACAATAATTCTTTTTTGGGGTAGGCTAGGGTGGGGGCAGGAAGCATCAAGCTTCATTCTCTCAAATTAGGTGTCCCAAAGAATGGGGAAAGGTTTGATTACAGGTAACAAGTCTGACAGAAATTCTACCCAGTTCTTCTAAATAGATAGTATAGTAGAATCCAAAATTATAACTCTGTAAGGTCCTCTTTTGTCACCTAAACTGTCACACATTGGTTGTGAGAAAGCTAAACTTCAGTGTTTACCTAAATCATTGAAATACAGTAAGATGCACAATATTTGAATAAACTACCCAAAAAATCTGTCATATATATAAAAATCGGTGAGTATTCAACAGTTGTCATTCTACCCTATTAAAAGTAAAAAGTTCAAATTATTCCTTAAAAGCTTATTTTTTCAAATTGAAGCCTTGGAGACACCCAGATATCGTATGTTCCCTGATGACAATCACACCACCTATGAAATCTTGCTCAAAGAAAAATCCAATCATACTTTGAATTCTACTACCTTTGTAGACAATAAATGTTTAGCTACATCATAGGGTTACCTCAACTAACTGTACCAGAAACATTTCAGAATGAGTAACTCAATTTTAACAAAATGCAAACAGTAAACAACTTGGGGCAGGGGAAGGCCCAGAAGATTGAGAAAACATATACACACTTAAAAAATTACTTTAAGAGGCACACCTATAATCTTAGCACTTTAAGAGGCTGAGGCAGAAGAATTACTTCCAGTTCAAAGACAGCCTGAACTACAGTGAGACTCTGTTTAAAAACAAAAACAAACAAAACCCAGAAACATAAAAAAGGACTTAAGGAATACCAATTAGTCACAAAGTGAATTCTTTATTTGGATCCTGATTCAGATAAAAACACCCACTTAAGTGATATTTATGGGAAATCCAGAGCATTTATTAGAGATTTTATGATATAAAGAAATTCTTTGTGATTTTTTTAACATGTGACAACGGTGTTGTGGTAATTTTTTTGAAAGTCCCCATTTCTTACATACACTTTGAAATATTGATGTAAAAATACTTCGCTTTAAAAGAACTTAAGTTAGTGAACAATAAAAAATTTCTTAACTTTGCCCATTCTGTATAGCTGTATTTACCCATGTTTCCTAGTTCATTCTGTATAATACACATCATATTAGAACTCACTTATTTTTGCTAAGCAGTAGTAGAACTGAACAGCTTCAAAGAGCTGAAACAGGGAGACTGTTTCCCATACTTCGTTTGTTTAAATGATATAGGAAATACAGCCCTGGGCAACACATTCTATGATTCACTTCAATTTCAGAAGATCCTAATTAAATGATTCTTCACAATAAAAATGACTTCTGGACTTCTTTTAAGGCTCCTGCACAGAGCAGTGGTGGTAAACCTATGGCACATAGGTCACAGCAGACTGAAAACTCTAAAAGGTTCGCCATCACAGTCACAGACACTGAAAGATCACTATATTAAGGGCTACTCATAAACACTGGAATCACCACCATAATTAAATCTACCATATTTCACAGAACCTGTTTTCGAATTTAACCCCATGTAGGAAAACCAGTGGGTCTAGTATGCCACATATGTAAGGGTGACAACCTACGCAGCACAGACCATTAAGCTTATGGTGGAGACTACCAGAGCTAAACGGTACACATGACTACAACCAAGTAGATATTCAGTAAATGTTGGCCAAATACATAGTCAGTCAGCTTTGAATCTAGAGTTTACTGTGTTCTTTCAAAATTTACATAGTCAGTAGAATTAAACATTTTAAAAAACCCTCAAACTGAAGATGGAATTTTTCCTTTGTGGGTAAGATCTTCATTTCAGTTCTCATTACCAAAATCAGAGTCAAAATGCTTGAATCAAGACATACGATAAAAGCTTCAGGAAGGTGATTCTTAAAAATCTATAACATAAACCATAAAATTATACAAAAGTAAAGCAAAATGAACATTTTCTGATCATAAAATATTTATTAAGGTATACTTTAAGGAATATAGTGAATATAAAATTTAGGATCACAATATGAAGCAATTTCAATCCTCTCAAAAGTCAGAACATCCCTCAATACTCTGCAGATATAAAATCACTGGTGAAACTCACTAAAAAGCAGTTTGACTAATACAGAAGTGGCATGAACATTTACAACTAAAGCATCTGAATACCTCTTTTAACTGCAAAACCACACCACATTACACTAATGCAGCAAGAATGCATTCATATTGTTTTCATTAGTCATTAGTAGTCAACTTGCATAAAACACCAGAAGAAAAGCACAATGGAGCTCACAAAATGGGCTAAAAAATGAACCTGTCCTTGCAAAACATACTGTAATGGAAGAGACATTTTAAAAAGTATTATGCAAACTACAGAAGCTGCATTCATTCCAAGAATCTCAAGTATCATCTCCTTTTTCATAAAAATCAAATTACAAGAACCAGGCACAACTAATATTTGGGAGGCAGTGTGTAGCTAAAATCTCATTTAACTATTCAATGATTTTTAAAATCCCCATAAATCTCTTCTGTCCTGAGGTAGTTGCAAAATAAATCATAACTTGAATATCAACTAGAGCTGAGGCTTTGACTTATTAAAACTAGTTGTTACTGACAGAACTACCTTTCAATAGTTAAGACAGTTGAAAAATGGGCCTCTTACTACACACACAAGATGATGGCTATGTGGGAAAGAGGAGGAGCTGCTCCAGAATGTGAGAGATGTGGTCCACGTTGCTTTCACCCTCCCTACCCACTTTAGGTTCTTTATTGTCCAATAAGCCACCAGGAACTACACAGAAGTAGACTGATCATCGTCCTTTGCTGTATCCAGGGAAGAAAAGGTCAAGTAGAGTCTGTAGAATCTCATTAGGAATCATGATGTAATTCTGGCCAAGATCATGTCGGCAAGCAGGGCAGGAAAAAACTTGGGCCTTAAAAGAGCGTTGCAAGCAATCCTAAAGGTTAAAAAAAAGGAGAAAAACTATACACAGAACAAATAATTTCAAAGGATCAACTCTGGAAAAGAAATCAGTAACTTATACTTTTAAAGATCAGTAAGAGTAATGTATAAGAGTAATGTACAGCTTTAAAGGCGTGAATATCCATTATACCGTCTATAGTCAAAGTCTATACATAATTCTGCCCCTGACAAATAATGTGAGACGTCAGGTAAATGATGTAACTATTTTGTGATGCAATTTCCTCATCTAGTAAAATGAAGTAGAGAGTATGTATGGTTCCTAGCCTCATCATTTAGGCTAGACTTTAATCCTAGCTGTTTACTAATACAGCTGGAAAGAAAAAAATTCAGGATTCTATTCCTTAGAAATAAGGTACATACTTATCAAATCACTTAACAGATAATCCATCTTTTAAAATATATTTAGTTGTACTAAATAGAGAATTAACTGTTCTCAGGCACAAAACACATATATAGAATTGTTTCCATTTTTAAAAGTAAACCAGTTTCTGAAGTTAGATCAGCACATAAAACCACCACTTTTGAGAGCAAGTTTTCAAGCCTGGCTTGACTAAAATTTTCCTTCTATACCACACTAATAACATAATAATGAATCATATAAGCATCCTGCCAGGAAGAATGTTTTAGATTTTTTTATCAATTGCATGAAACTAATACATAAAACTTAACTATTCTCCTTCATGAAAAAAAGATTTTTCATATGCTAAAAACAGGTGTACAGCTTAATATGCCTTGAAGTCTGCCAAGGAAAATGGGAGGGGAATTCTACTTACTTTACAGACATTGTGGAAGCACTCTGTTGTCACAGGTTGATAAACTAGCTCCTGACAGCAAACACACATGAAAGACTGTTCCAATTTTTTCAGAAAGTTCTAAAATAGTACCCAAGAGGAAAGAAAACAATGTTACCAGTTCATAATGTACAAAGAAACTCTAAAAGATCAAAAAATTAACTTCTGTTTAATGTATTTAATATTAAATAAAAAGATTTCAACCATTTACACCAAGCAAACTTGACAGAGCGAAGAAAATTCACCAAAGTCCTCTCTAAATCTCACATTCCAGGAATAACTATTTTTCACACACACGAAACATTGGGGCTGGCGTTATAGCTCAGGATTACAGGGATTGTCTAACATGTAGCAGGCTCTAGGCTGAATTTCCAGCACAGCATAAACAAAGCAATACAACACTGATAACTTAAAAAGGTTATTACATACTCAACTTTCCCTAAGCACCACCGCATTCATTATTGTTTTGGGCTCTTTGCTATTCCAGTATATTAATGTTATCCATTAAACATTTCATTGATATAAAACAAAATGTATTCTGAAACATAAAAAAAACAAAAAACAAAAGAATCAAGTGTGGTGGTGCATGCCTGTAATCTTGGCAATTCTGAAGGCTGCAGCAAGAGGATTCCTGCAAGTTCAAGGCCACCTTGGACTACATAGTGAGTTCAAAGCCAGCCTGAACTAAATAAATCAACCTATTTATTTCCTATGATTTTCTGCGATATTTTGCCTTAATCCTCCAAAATCTTGTATTTTCTTGGTGCTAGTATTTAAAGTGGTAAAAAATTATAAAAACTACAGTTACCTAAAGAAATCATTTTCAAATAGATCTCTTATGCTATATCTTTAAAAGCCATTACCAGTCCATGCCCTGGTTACTCATGCCTTTTGAACTAGAAAAAATGGTAGTTTTAAAAAGTTAAAAAGCTATCCCTTTAGTTATTTTTGGTAGTGACAGAATATATTTTATTTTTCGTTAATAGAAAAGTAAATTTAAAGGCCTATTTTGTTGTTTGGGCTCTTTGCTATTGTTGTCTTTTTTGTTTGTTACTTTTTCTAGTAATCTGTTTTGTTTTTCCCTCTAATGCAGAAAGAATAGGTATACATGTAGAGGCTCACACATGACTAAAATGTCTCCTAAATAGTTTATGAGAACCAGTTACATTATGTGTGATGAAATGAACAGCTACTTTGAAGAAAAACAGATATCATGGTATTCATTGCTGATTGCGTATCAGGCTGTGAAATCCAGTAATACTTCTTTGTTGAACGTGGGTTTAGTCCGTTTTGTAGAGATGTTATGGCAGCCATTGTTAATTTTCATATTGTCTGGTTCTGAAGGCCTGTAATGCCTTCATTACTCTGTTCTGATCAGTTTTTATACTATTTTGTTTTGTATGAATTCGTTGAGTGTGAAGATACAACCATTTAGAAGAAAACAAGAGACATTATGGTAGCCACTGTAGATCTCCTGTTGTATTGCTTTGAAATTTGTGTCACTTACATTGTTTTCTCCTGATCTGCTTTGTTCTATTTTGTTTAGTTTTACTTTTTCAAAGTAAAAAAAAAAGAAAACTTATAAAAATTCAAGTAAAAAAGAAATACTCTATTTCTTTTTTCTTTTTTTTTTTTTTTTTGTTTTTTGTCTTTTTCTTTTTTATCGGTTTCAGGAATCGAACTCATGACTGCCTGCTTGCAAGGCAGGCGCTTATGCTGCTGAGCTAAATCCCCAGCCCCAGAAATACTCTATTTCAAAACATGCTCTGATACTCTTAAGGTAAGGTAGCAGACGTGTAATCCTAGAACTCTAGGATTGCTAAGGCAGAAGGATACCAAGTTCAAGTTCAACCTAGGGATGTAACTCACTGTGAAGGCCCTAGAGATTCAATCCTCAGTGATAGCAAAAACACACATCTGCACAGAGGTGTTAAAAACTCAAACTTTATACCAGGTACCCTTTTGCTAAAAAAATACTCTGTTAACAACCTAGTACTTATAGCTTTGCGGTGTCTATTTTTGAATAGGTATATGTAATACTGGAAGTTTTAATTCCTGTGGTATGCTATGTACTCATATACACAGTAGTAATAAAAATTAAAATCCCTAATCTCATAAAAAAATTTCCATAGAACAGACAAAAAATAAATTTCAGATAGTAATAAATGAGGGGAGAAAAGTTAATGGATTCAACTCAGCTATTTTAAAGAAGGAGAGCTGGTGAAGATCTCTGGGGAGTGTACTATTTGCGTCTCAAAGGATATGAAAGAATGAGCCTCATCAAGGCAAAGAGTAGATTCTGGTCAGAAAGATAGTATGTGTATAAAATCCTGGGGAGATGGCTGCTTAGTACAGAATATGGTAGTCAAATCAGTCAGAGGACAAGCAGTTAGTGAGGTGAGCAGCCCATCCTATCAGGGTCTTAGGAATTATGAATGTATACACATTCATTTATTTAAAAGTAATCATTGGCTAATACCTGTCTGTTTTGTTTTCTCTTTTGCTTTTGTAGCACTAAAGATCCATCCCAAGGGCATTGCACCATTGAGCTACATACCCTCTGTGCCTTTTTGAGACGAAGTCTCACTATGTTGCCCAACTGCTCTTAAATTTTCTAACCACCTATTCAGTCTATGGCCATACCACCCTGAACAGATGCAATTTCATCTGTTCAGCCCCTTGGATAGTTAGAAGTGCACATGCACCACTACCACACCTGCACCCCCCAAATCTAAAGATCTAAAAATAAATCTAAAAGCATTTAAGGCTGCTTACTCCAATAATTTCTGAAAGATGGTGGCACTGAACAAAAGGATCAAGTTTTGACTGACTTTAAAAAATCATACTTCATAGAAAATTTTCCATCACTTGTTACTATTAAAACACTAAATAAACTTTTACATACTGGTCCTTCCACAAGCGATGCAAGAACTTCATCCCATAGTTTCTGATTCTGACAGTCTTCTCTAATTAGATGTTGTTGCTGAGGAGTAAGCTGGAAAGCCTCGACTGCTTCTGCTGAATCGGGTGCTTTGATCACTTTGGAGGCAGTTGGACACTCTTCTAGATTTAGTTTTAAAATGTCAATACTTCATCTTAGAAACACCATAATAAGTTACTAAACTGATACTAAAAGACTTAGCAGGAAGATAACCACGTGAAACAGCTTCTATTTGTCCTGGAGTTTAGGATACTATACTTCTTGCTAAGGTTCTGACATTATTAAAATACACAAAAAGACCCATCACCCACCTCCAAAACAAGAAAACCTTTTACTTTTTTTTTTTTTTTTTTGTCTTTTTCCTTTTTATCGGTACCAGGGATGGAACTCACGACTGCCTGGCTTGCAAGGCAGGCACTTATGCCGCTGAGCTAAACCTCCAGCCCCTACTTTTAATTTCTTACGAATCTTCAACTTTATTGTAAGATTTTTCTGTATGAAAACATATGCTTATGAGAATATGCACTCTGCATTCATTACCTACCATCTGAAGCTGGCCTTTTTGTAGCTTCACTAGCCTGCTTCTTTGACTGTCCTTTAGTCTTCTTCCCTTCCTTATCTGAAGGGTAACCTGCTGGATACTAATAGGAGGGGAGAAAAAGGACAACAGATTTATGCTTCATAGAAAAGGAAAGTTCTAGATCCTACTGAAAAATTTTAAAGAGGGGAAGTAGGAGTCTATTTTCCCCAAATTGAAAGAATTTTCATAAAGGATGAACACCTTCAAGGAAAAGGATTCCGAAGACGTATTAATATTTCAAATTCACTGTACAGCCATGTAGCTTTGACTTCTAAAATATTCCACTTTATAATATAATATAACATATATAAATTTCAGACCTAAAAAAAGAAATCTTCATGACCTATACTAGGCAGCCTGAAAAATTAAAAATGCAGAATCTAGATATCAAAGAGAAGATCAATAAAGGACCACAAAAATGGTAATGAAATAGGTAAATCAATCTAAGGCAAAAAATCAAGGGCAAAATTTCTCATCTAAAACTGGAGGTTGAGAAAAAGGGGATTTTAGAAAATCTAAGTGACTAAACTTCTAAATGTCCTACTTCTTAACGGTTCAGTTTTAAGGAATACCTATTACACCTACGTCATTGTTTTTATGTTATTGAGATGGGGTCCTGCTATGTGATATGGGCTGGCCATCCATGTTTGATTTTCCTGTCGATTAGCACCATGAGTAGTTTAGATTACAGGCATGCACCAACAAACCCAGCTAACCTATGTTTTAACGGCTACCTTGGGGGGGGGGGCTAGTGTGATTAATACTTATCTTTAAAGTTCTGTGTTTTTGGCCTCATGGTATTAATTCATCATAGTAGATGGATTCACAATTTCAAATCAAACTCGTCTAATGCTCTGAACACAAGGACTTGACAAAGTTTTTGTATTTACTTATAAAAATATTATTTTAGTAGTTGATGAATCTTGGTTAAACAACAATTCTGTGAGTTAAAAACAAACAAAGAAACAAACAAACTTCCACTAAAAGACACACACTCACCTGCCTGGGAGAGCAGACACTTGCCCACAGTTCATACAATGTGAGCACAGCCAGGGGAAACGACAAAGCTGACAGTCTTTACAAGAAGCACACATGGCAAATTATGAAGAATGAACTCAAACCATGCTCTAAAGTCAGTGGCAGAGAAAAAGTTCTGGATATACAGGCAGTAAAGGGGGAATGCAGTCATATCAAGGCATACAAAACCAACAAAGTCTTCTATGGATTAACAGCTGAGCATGAGCAAAGGAAGAAAAAAGCAAACCACTAAAAGTGATAGCAGGGCAAGGAAGCAGCTTTGGGGGGTGGGAGGAGACAAGGTGTGAGAAAAAGTGAGAAGGGTAGGAAACAGACCAGTTTCATCAGCCATTTTCTCCCTCTTCCCCTTCCACAGACATTCCCTCTATGCCCTTTAGGGTAGATGTCTCTTTTCAAGGTCCCCAAAACCTAAATTGTGTTAAGTTCTATTCCCTCGCACCTCAAGACCCTTCCTTACTGACTCAGAAATTTTCTACTTTTCATTGACAAGTCCAGCACTTTGTAACCACAATGTGTGATCCTACAGGAGTTGGATCCTTAGGATGTTATCTGCTTCCTCTTCTTTCTCACACCTTTGAGTTGATTGATCAACTGCTCTGAGTTATATAGTGTTAAGGCACATATTAGACATCTATATTTTTATGAATTTATGAGTATCTTAGACAACATATCCTAACCTGTAAACGTAGACATAATCTCCTTGATCGCTCTATTCCTTCTGAGGTCCAAGGTGCAGGTTCAACATCATCTCTTCTTAAAAGGTAGCGCCAAACTAAGAATCCATGACTGGACGAAATCTCTGGCCAGTATTTCACCACCTACAGCATAATATTTCAGTAGCACATTGAAATATAAAGTTTAGATTTATTCATAATGAATTCACAATAGAGGCTTAAATAAGCTTGTCAGAATTAACTTCAGAAGGTACTGTAGGTACAGTAAATAAGTCAAGAATATGGATTAAAATATAGTTTTGACAGTGTGTTCTATTCAGATAAGTCCCATTACTACAGTAACAAAACTGTGTTCATTAACGTAATTTTGCATATCATTTAGATAAGAATGGTGGCAACTGATGTTTTTTGGGTTTTTTTTGGTGCCAGGGATAGAACTCATTTTTTTTAAGCGAAGGATAATAATCTATTTTTCATATATGTTCTGCTTTAAAAATCACTAAAAGGATTCTGAAAAGACACAAATCAAGATCTATAATAGGCACATTATTTAAGTGGTTTGATCATTGATAATCTACACTTTAAAAAACCTTAATTCAATATAACTTTGCCCTTAGGAACTTAGCTTTTTTTTTTTTTTTTCTTTTTTTAATGACTGAAGTATAGAAGTTAAGGGTACTCTTTGTGTATTGGCTATGTTTCATTTCTGAAACCAACTGGAAATATTTTACTTTGTATTGAAACAAAAATGGAAGTGGAAATACAAGTAAGATGGCCTCCTTCTTCTTCTAGCCCACCCACCAGTACCCTAAGATGACCCTGTCTTGAAAGCCCAGGAAGAATGACTAACGAGATGTCATGCCAGATAGAGCACCTTATAAATGCCATCATATCTGTTGCCTTCTTCAGGAGCATATTTGCTGATCTTCCTCCCTTTAAAACTGCGTATCACTCTGACTGGCTTACCAGCTCTCCAATTCCGAGACTCTGCTCCAATTTTATCATCCAATGGAGCATCACAGTTTAGGGCCAATGCCCTAAAAAAATAAAACAAAGTCTTTATACCAAGTAATCTTTCTTTGAGTATATAATCGAGTCATTAGCTCAATTAAAAGGAGAATTATGCCTTACCTGATGGTTAAGAGTCTATGATTCTTTCCATATTATTCCAGATAATAGGATTATGCTTTCCCCCACCAGCAGAGAAGACAAATCAGTTTTCTGATGTCATCCCCAAGCCAGGGGATTGGTTCTCAGATAGCCTGTAGGGTTCTTCTGAAAGTAATAACATCTGTGCCACGTATAATAGAAAACAACTAAAAATACATGGAATGCTCTTTAAATAACGGTTGTTGAGGGAAGGGAGAAGGTTGGAAAACTACAGCAAGTGATTGTTTTAGGGACTGTTTTTGATAAGGAGGGGTAGTAAATTGCTGGAATGATGTAGAAAGAAATTCAGAAAAATAAATGTGTCAAAAGTTACAAAAGACCTTTCAAGGTCTGCTTTCCACATTCCAGACAATAGAGACTTCTAAATTTTGAGAACAAGTGCAATATAAGAATATTCTTTAAAATTCTCCACTAAAAGGTAAATTTAAGTAAGACTCAAGCATCAAAATGCTTGTGCTAAATCATGACAGTACTTTTTGGCTGCTTAGGATTATTATCATTACTGATGCTAGAGATAAGGAGTAACACCAATTTGGAAGAAGCATCTGACTTAAGTGTATATACACTCAGTTGTAATTCAATCAGTGAGCTTACTGATGTTAGAAGATTTTTGGCGGGAAACTTAGTCCTAACTAAAATACTCTGATCTATGAAAAAAAAAAAAAATCAGTGTCTTCCTCTAAGATACCCATGTCCTAACATAAGAAAGAATAATACACTGAAAATGTGTACGGTTTAAAAAAATAAAAGTACACTCAATCTGGCGAAATTGAGTATATAAAGTAGTTTTCCAGGATATACTTATTTTATGCAGGCTGAAATTTAAATGCAGAGCTTAATTCTATGACTAACCTATTGAAAAGGAATGTCTTGTCTATAGTTATCTTTTGAAGTAAATGCACTTATTTTGGTTTTTTTTGTTTTTAAAATTAATTTTTATAGCTGCAGTCAAGGAGTAAAGTTCTTACCAAGTTATCTTTTGATCTAAAAAAGGAGCTAATTTAAAACTCTGGAAGGTATAAGATAATATATCCATCAACTCTAGGGCTAGTGTATCTTAGTTATGGACTATCTACCAAGATACACATACGTCATCTTAGAGAACCAGTAAAAGTAGTATCTTCATGTTATTGAGTGAACATGCTTTCAATTTTATGGGTACTTTCAGTCATAATTACTGTAACTACTAACTAGAAATGTCCACTCACTTCTAGCTTCAGACACATATTCATTCTATTCAAGGATTTGAAGAGTCTACAAGGATAAAGCCAGGCAAAGCAGCAACAAAGTTGTTGCATTACTCTATAGCTCAATCAATCAGTTGCCTCTAAGTGCCCTAATAAAGGATAGCCAGGTTACCTTGTTGCCCTCTTCAGTTTCTTAAAGTGAAAGATCTGGGAAGAAACAGGAATAAACTCAGAAGCAAGAAGGTGTCCAACTTTTTCTCAGGAGAGAAACTAAAGTGAATTTCACCATACACACATTGGGGGAAATTTATATGGTGGGAAAGAGAAGTAAGGGCCTTTTACCTCAGCCTTCATGTTCATGAGACACAGGTATCTTTGCCCTAGAGATCTTACAATCATAAGGCATATTTATAGCTAACTATACAATCAGCTGAATGTTTAAGTCTGTATGAGAAGACATCCCTAATTGTTTTCAATTAATATTTCATTGTCACAGCTCTCCTCCTTACAGCAAACATTCACAATGATCATTAATTATTTTGTAGAGACTGAAACAGTATGTCCAAAAGCTTGTAATCTACCATGAATACTGTAAATCAGTAATTATGAAGAAGTTTCCATCAGGCAAAATAGTTTATGAACAGAAAAATACAAATTTCAGATCGGACAATTTTAATGTCCCTTTGCAAATTCAAGATACAATTTCATTAACAAAAATACATCGAACTATTTCTAACTTCTTTTAAGATCATTCATTCTAAAGAGCTGCGTCCTTGACATAAAAAGAATGTGTAGAGACTGGGCTCCTGTCTCAGGAATGTTTTCACCAGCAAATCTGACCTGTCTCCTCTGCTGGTTCAGTAAAATAATCCTACTGTCAGAAATAATATACAAGACATAAAAACATATTCTATGTAATTTGGTATGCAATAAAGTCTTAAAATCGTATTCTTTAGTTCACACGGTAATCACAAATTAAAAGGATGCTACTTGAAACCGAGTGACTTAGACACAAAGGAAATAATATTTTACTCAATTAATACACAAGATATTCTTCATGATATAAAAGTATTTAACCATGTGCTTGTTTCATATGGTTAAAAATTTTAATGTGGCAAATTAAACTGCGGTTTTCCTGTTAGTCTGGATTAAGTGCAATTAATAGCATACATTTACAATAAAATATTTTGAAATTACTGTTTTGTATTCGGTATACACAAAGACTGTATATTATAATTCTAATAGTTTGATGTCATTAATAATTGTACACAAATAAAGCTCAGCAAAAGGTGGCTGTTTTGTAATGCTGGAAGGATTTAGTTCAAAAACATCACTTTGTATCTAAATAAAATTTCCCTTTAATAGCATTTAGATGTTAAAAAATTCAAAAAGTATCTTAAATGTAGATATGATTAAATTATCTTATATTTTCTCATGCACATGTGGCTTACAATCAGCCCTATTTCCTATTAATGAGTCTCTAAGAATTACACCACTTAGTCTCTATTAAAAGATGATCTACATGGAGAAGAGCATCACAATGTTGACTTATAAGGGTAGTAAACAAGCCACCTTATCCTGAATTTCACTTACATTATATAGGTTTCTTTTAAAAGTGACATGTTCAAATGGATAGCATGTGTATTAAGAAATTCTAGGAATTGTGGCATTAAAAAAAAGCACCAAAGGAATAGGATCCTTAAAATTCTATAATAAAGGATTAAAATGTCATCTTTAACTCCTAATTTGAGATTCTCCTTTGCAATCTTGCGAGTTATAATCCTAAAATAAAACTTTAATATGGCATTTAAATTTTAAAGTCTTTTTACAAAAGTACCTGTTCATGTTTGTTAATGTTTGATCAGCTGATGGTGCACCAATTCTTTTATTACCAGCAAGATTTTTACCGCCACTTCCAGTATACGTAAATTCATCACCTCGGTCCTACAGAAAAAATGTTTTTACAGTAAGATACCTAGACCCAAGTATGACTTTCCAATTCTTCTTTCACAGTAAAAACACTCAGCTAGGATATTATGAACTGACATTTTTTCTCACACTATCTACCAAAATCAGACAAAATTAGTGTAATCTTGTATAGTAGCCCTGCAAGTTATATCACCAGACTTAAAGTTTCCTTAAAAATTCTGGTTTCTGTCATCTCCACACATGTTGAGTCACATGCTATACATGCAGCCAATCTTTATCATTTTATAGATAAGATTTTAGGGACTGTATCTTACGTACTTTAATTCAAGAGTAACTAAAATAAACACACCATTGCCATAACGCTATTTTTAATTTTTTTAAAAAAAATTTTTAGACTAGGTCTCATCATAGTCTAGGGTGGCCTCAACATTGCAGCAATCTTCCTGCCTAGTACTGGGATTACAGGTGCGGACCACCATTCCCAGGTGATGGTGTTACTTTTTATAGACACTCCATAACTAAACTCTCAGTTGTTACTTATACCATACCTAAGTTTATCACCATAGTATTCAAATTCTGATGTTGGTACCAAAAAAATTCTATAAAACAAGTTTACCTAGAGACTATATTACAATTTTAAAGAGCATAGTACAGTATTTACATTTTATAGTCTATTAGTTCATCTACAACAGTCAGATAAAATAACTATTAAAAAGAAATCTGGAAAACACTTGAAAACTAATAGTAATATTTACTATCTACTAAATATTGAGGGGAAATGTCAAGAAGAAAACCATATAAACCAGCTCCAATATTATTTCTGAAGTAGCTGTAAATTTATATGGATATTACTAAGTTTCTAGATGATTCAGTATTCAAAGCTGCAAATTAATGATTAGTATACTAATTCTATTAACAACTAGTGATTTTTAATGCAAAATCATTTTAATTAGTTCAGATTTTCATTAGACAATAAAGATTTCTTTACTGAATTCTTACTCTTTAAGTCAGTTATTTGAGTCATTTTTTTAGATTAAAAGCCTAAGAAGTGAGGTGTGGTGACATACAACTGTACTCCTACCTGCTCATTAACCTGAGGGAGCAGACTGACAAATTCCAGGTCAGCTTAGTCACCTCAGTGAGACCCTGTCTCAGTAAACCCAGGCATGGTGGAACATGCTTGTAATCCTAGCACTCTGGAATGTTGTGACAGGAAGATCTTGAGTTGAAGCCCAGTCTGGGCAACTTAGTAAGGTAATTTCAAAATAAGAAGGGATGGGAATGTGGCTCACTGTGTAGGCTCTGGGTTCAATCCCCAGTATGCAGGACAACAGATAGGTGGGTGCATGGACGGATGGATGGATGGATGGGCTGAGGAAGTAACTTAGTGGAGGAGCATTTGCCTAGTATGTGCAAGGCCCTGGGACCAATTCTTAGTAATATTTTTTAAAAGCTTACCTAAAATTTAAATGTTATTACTGCTCCAAAAACATTGAATTTACTTTTTATTGAGCCAAAATTGAGATCTCTATTTTTAAAAAATAAGACATTAAAAATTTTCATTTTTTGATATTTTTCATGTGAGGAATTTTAGTAAGATCTAGAGCAGTCCAGAACACTTTTTAAATTGATCACAAACAGTCCTGACTACAGTTACCTAGACTGATTCTGTAATTATATTCCTAACTGCTAAATTTTCAAGTTATAATCGTAGAAGAGTGCTGCAAAGAAAAAATAGTGGGGATTAGAGCACCATAATAGAAACAATCTAAGCTAAATAACATTTAAAACACTGAAACAAAGTCATTTCTGGTTGTGAAGGATCAAGAAAAATGGTTTAACATCTGTCTATACTAACTCCTCTGTGCTTCAATTACTATAACCAAACAACTTAATCAACAGAGAGAAAAATGATTTGTCACATTGTCAGAGCTCAGAAAGTATCATTTCAGACTAGTTTTCCTATGGAAAAATAATCAGTCTCAATTTGTTGTATCTTCTAGTCCATAGGCCACTAAATTATGCCGCTAAATGATACCCTATAGAAGACTGCTGCCAAGGAATAACCCTCTAAAAGAAGCTGTATCTACAACAGGGATGCAATTTATCCCTCTCTTTTTCCAAGGTACTACAGCACCTGCCTAAGACCACTTGGGTGCTGCCAATGCAGCTGTCAAACTGATCATGTAAGATTTCCCCTTCCAGATCTTGTCAACCTTCCCTCTCAAGTCTACAGGGTAAACCATTCCAAAACACAATTAAAATGCTTAACACTTTATCAAAGCATTATTAGTTGTACTTTATATCAAGGTTGTCCACAAAATCGCTTAATTTTTTGCCAGTTTGTATCTCCTAACATCATTTACATGCTTGCAGAAAGGGGTACTGCTGCTATTATGGAGAACCCATACCTTTCCTTTAACATGTATGTGGAACAGACAAAGCATTTTGCATGTGATAATTATCACATCAAGACCAACAGGTAAGTGTATATACCTTATTTTACAGATAAGACAAAGGTTCAGGAAGTTGCTTAAGGTCTCATAGTTAGGAAGAGATAGCTCCTGGACACATACTCAAACAGCATGTCTTCAGACTCTTAGGACCACTGTGGAAATTACTTCTCCAGACAACTGTGATTCTCAAGAAAAGTGACAAAAACCAGGACACTAAAACCTGCCTTTCATTCATTCTCAAGTTACTAGACCAAATATTAACTAACTAGTAGGTATACAAGCGTTTTGTAATCATTCATACAAACAGGACAGAAGTCACTGGCTACATAAATGTTACAACAAATTTGCATTAAAGAATATTTTATCTTGAATGAGGAAAGCTTACTAAGTTTTCTACACCTGCTCCTATAGCTATGACTTATCTGTCAAAAGGTTTTAAATGCTTACTAAATATACTGATGTTTCCAGATACATCTTAACTGGCAATTTAAGCATACATGTCATCTTGATCCAAAAATAAAATTCTTCTTTATATTACTTAACATTTAACTACTTAAGACAACTATCTAAGATTCAGATTCCCCTGTTTTTAATGTCTGACTAGTAACTACTGACAACATAGAATAAAAAAAGAAGTAGTAACACCCACTCCTGCACTTGTAGCATTCATTTTCAGCATTGCAGTGACAGGTCAGATATAGTCATATATTTATGAATTTGCTCAGAGTACACAACTAACATTTAAGACCTTTTTATATTCTTTGAGTGGGACTAGAACCCAAAGTTTTCACACTAAGTTATATCCTTAGCCCCTTTTAATTTTAAGATAGAGTATCTCTAAGTTGTCTCGGGTGGGCTCCAATTTGAGATTTTCCTGCCTCAGCCTCCTTGGAATGCTGGGATGACTGGCACATGCCATTATGCCTGGCATACTGACTCGTGGTAATGTGCCCAGGATTCCATAAACTATCCACTTAATAAAACTGTCTGGCAATAAAGTATTAATATAATTTCTATGTTACATACTGGAAAACCGAAGTTCACTGGAGTTTGCTGTGTCATTTTTCAAAAGTTCTATGGGCTTAGTACACAACAATATAAAATCTTAAAGATACAGTTTCAAAATACTAAAGGAGTACATGAAGAATTAACCTAAATATTGTCATTTTGTATCTTCTGCTATGTCAACATAAAGGCATTGTCAATTTGCCTGTCACAAAAACAATAAGCTTCTCTATTTTTGTCTGAAAACATACCACAATGGTCTTTTCCATAGATACTCTAATTCATCTAACATTCCATAAAAACGATTAAGTAAATGGACTAGGAGAAAATATCTGACAACTACATATCTGATACACGGGGAAAAAAATTCAAACAACCAAATTAGAAATGTAAAAAGGGAAATTTAAAGGCTGTATGAATCGGAAACAAGCAAATGAAGGATGTTAACCTTACAAGTCAGTAGGGAAATGTAAATTAAAATGAGATAAGCACTACATACCTATCACTACAGCTTAACATGAAAAACAATAAAACAGCAAATGCTCATAAGGATGCAGAGAACTCAAATCACTCCTACACTGCTGACGGAAATGTAAAATGATGCAGTCATTCCACAAAACAGTTTGCAGTCTCTTTAGAAAAATAAAAGCAAAACTACCAGGAATTGCACTCCTTACCATATACCTAGAAAAACTAAAACTTCGTTTACAAAACCACTACATAAACATATAGCAGCAACCACTACATACAGCGACTTTGGCTGTAATAGCTAAAAACTGGTAATACAGGTATTTTTCAACAAGTGAATGGTTGAACTATAGTACATTGACACCAAGGACTAATACTCAGCAATAAAAACAAATATCTATAGAATCCATATTTGAGGGAGTGTTAAAAAAAAAAAAGAATCCAAAAGCTTACAAAGTACATTATTCCATGTACAAAAAGTTTAAAGGGACAAAATTATACAAATGGAGAAGAGATTAATAGTTATTGGGGTTAGGGATACAACATGATGGGATTCTACAGTTCGCACTTGTTCTACGTTGTAACACAGCCTCATAAAGTTCTATGCGCTGGCTATAATTACAGCAAAACTTGGGTTTGGGAGAATAGTTCATTCCATTCATAATCCAAAACATTTGTGTATCAAAGCAATGGAGAGAGAAAGAGAAAGACAGTGACAGAGAGATCCCAGATATAACCATATGAGGCATGACATACTACTCCAGTGCAAGACACTGATCATTTATTAAGTTAAATTTCTTAGAAATGTTTGCTCATCCTGCAGAATACACACAAAGTTACTCACAATCCAAGGTCTAATTGTATATAATCTTTCATATTTTCAACAAACACTGAAGAAATTATAATAGAAAATTTCAGAATTTTGTGTGGAGGTCAGTATCCTGGTTGTGACACTACTACAGCGAGTTTTACGAAATGTCACCACTGCAAGAGCACAGGATGCGTATGTAATTTCTTCTGCTAAAATTACTAATTGTGAATCTCCAATTACCTCAAAACAGTTACATTTAATTTTTAAAAGCTGTTCTATATAGAATGTATTTTCTGTATAATAATTACCAAACATAAACATAAGTCAAATTAGTACATGTAAAGATAAAACACTACCGGTTTCTCTTACTAGTTTTAGAAAATTGATTACTCCAACCTAAAAACTATGCTAAAAATAGTCTGTTTGGTGTATTCTAGACAAAGCTTTCACATTTTCCTAAGTGATAAAGACAGATTCTAAAGAACAAAATTGTGTCGTGACTTACTACTTCATCTGCAAATCCACCAGCAAGGACAAGAGAATAAGCCCCATCATTACTGCGACCATGAATTCCACCAACATGGGGCCTATGAACACCTGCTTCGCTCACCTATAAAATAAGTAAAAAGAATCTCAGAATACCTCTAAACAATTAAGTTACATTTACAAAATACTTTCAAATATATTATCAAACCATAAAAACCCAACAATCATGTCTCATCTAGTTTTAACTTTTGCTTTCATTTTAGTTCTCCCCAAATTAAAAGGGACTAAGGAGACATGCTTAAATTTGAGAAGGCCTAGAGTTCTCAGTTTCAGCAGTAACTTAATAATCATCATCATCTTATGTAATTTGAACTTTCAAACCAACTCATGTAAAAGAAAACTAACAGTGGTCAAGATCACCTCTCTCTTATTTCTCTTCTTTGAGTATAGCTATTTCCTACCCAGATTATCAGGTCAAAAATGCAGGAATTATTCTAGCCATTGTTTTCCTGTATTTCTCAAGACATATGGTCACAAAGGAATCTTGATTCTACTTCCTAAATCCTTCAAATCTATCTTTTTTACTGCTACTGCTCAATCGTAATTTTAGACATAGATTCTTACATTAGACAGTTTCACCACCTTTGGTTTTGCTCCTCTAAACTTACACTATCACAACAAAAATCTGTTTTTAAGAAATTCTGTATTTGACCTTCAATAAAGTATATGAAATGACCCTAGAGTATATCAAGTTCAAGTGAAGCATTGTATACTGTGCTCTATCAATTTCTTGATTTTCTCAGCTTTATGGATAGCTGTCCCTTCATGAAGCTTATATATTAGAGTGAAAATTATTCATTATTTCCCAACATGAAATCCATTTCTAGCTTAGTGATGTTATCCTACTTCAATGTCCTATGCTTTTTCTTATGTATTTTGAATTCTTCTTTACTGCCACAAGTACCCCACTTTCTATACTTCACATTCCCTGAGAAAGGTATTGTGAAACTACTATTCTTACAAAAGAAGCTGAAATTCAACTTTATACAATGAGTGTAGAAAAACAAAGTGGCTTGGTTTTTAAGCCAATAAGAAGCTAAAAATAAAAACAACTGACACTGGAAAATCTTAGGCCTCAGAAACTCCAAAGAGTTTACCAGGAGGCAGATGGACTTGGTTTTGGTACCCCACCAATCTTGGTAAAAATGAATTTGTTCTACTGTCTCCCATTCCCTAACAGACAAATCCATCCTGCTACATGCTAAGGCCAATAATCTCTCAATCACATTGGCAGCTTAGACCACATTAAAGGGGTTTTATGGTTAGTGAGTTAGTGACAGGCACATGAACAAAAAAGGAACAAAAATATTTATACTATTTTATTGTATTTGTATCTTACTGTACTCATAGATCAAGTCATAAAAATACAAATACCAGTTGAGTCAGAATTCTGTTACTACTATTCCAAGAATGAGAGAATACAAAGTACTAAGATAACTATCCATCTTCTTTACAAGTTAATAAAACTAAAAATTGAAAGAAATAAACATTATTTAGAAACAAGGTAAAAAGCTGGGGGAAATAACTACAACTTTATCTCTGAAAAACAGAAAATAGAGAAATAGGGTAGGTTTTTAAAATAAAAATCACACAATAACTTTTCAAGCTATGTAAAATGTATTTCTCTGTTTTAATTTTAATCATACCAAAGCTCTTAGTACCATGGATCACTAAATACAAAAAGGCAGCTTTAACTGAAGTTCAGAATGCTAGATACCTCATAACTGCTCTATTATAGTATTCTACTATAATGTTTATTTCACATTAACTTATCCACATTAAAATTAACTTTCTAAAAAATAAATCTGGAATAAATACAGCAAACTTCAAGTATAAAACAGAAACCATTTTATTCCTGCATTTACTAGTACTTCTTTCTCTCCAATATATTCATTTTCATTGAGAAGCCTCACAGAAAACACTCAAAGTAGGCTTAAAGTTCGATGACATTAAATAAAAATTTTCAATCACTTAAAGAAAAAACTAGTATTTCAAACACTACACTTTTTAGTAAGAAAATTCTTTTGAAAGCTTAATGATGAGAGCTAAGCACAGAGGCACACACATGTAATTCTAGCACTCTGTAAAGCTGCAAGACAATTATAAGTTTGAGACCAGCTGGGTGTCCCATTTACCAAGCCCCTGTCTCAAAATAAAAACATTTAAGGGACAGGGCATCTGGAGATGTAGCTCAATGTATAGACCCTGGTTACCATCTCTAGTACGGGTGAAAGAAAAGGAGGGGAGGAGGAAAGGAGGAAATAAAGATGAAAGTAATATTAGCACTATAACTATATAACACTAAAAATAAATTGACAAGAAAGCATAGCTGATATCTCGTTCTGTGATATTTATTCCTGTTAACCTTCTAACAACTGATAACACCACAGGTTATTAATGAGGTCTACCTTATAATCTACATGTTAACATTACTTCTATTTTACATAAACTCATTTTTCCTTTTCAACTAACTAACCTAATTTAAAAACATACCTGAACTCTAAATCTCCAAGTTGATCCAACAGGAATACCAGGAATAGGTCCATAATGATTAGAAGGGACAATAGTACACTCTTTTGTACGGCCAACACAAGCCATGCCCTGTAAATTACAAAACAAGCAGTCTGAGAAATCAATTATGTTAAAACTGTTAATGAAATAATTTAGTACCCATAGAAGCCCCACTATTTATATGTAATTTAGATATCACTGATTTAAACAATTACACTTTAATCTTTTATACCTTAACCATTACTTTCTAGTATTTTTTAAAAATACTAGATAATGTAATTGGCTACTGGAAGGAAAAAGGTGAATTTCTTCTTTACCCTGCCCCAGTCTCTCCGGCTTTCAGTACTAGCTGAAGGCATCTTTGCTTTCTTTTTACTCATCTTGAGTCTTTCACCAGCTTTTACAACCTCACTGGAATCAGTTTTACAACAAGGACAATACCTTTAAAGGAAAAAAGAAGAATTTTGACAATATTATAGTAAGGATGATAACAGAATAAAATAACCTTTATAGTTTAAGTACAAGTTTTAAAATGTATTACTTGGGATGTATTTCACAACTTTAGCTCACATTAAACTTCTAAAATGTTTTCATGATTAGGCTGAGTATAAGAACACATTTATTATTTTAGAGATTCTTAAAGATATTATTACCAATTCTCAAACTAAATTCAAAAGTCAGATTAAACTGTGAGACCCAAATGGCACTATAAAACTGTAATCTTATCAAGAAAATGAAGAAATTATTCATTTGAAATTCTTAACACTAAAACGAAAGTAGAAATAAATGATGCTTCTAGACCAAACACTGAACTAGACAATGGATAATAGTTCCCTACCTAACTTGCTTTTTAGAATTGAATTGAAAATGTATATAGTCTTTTAACATAAAGATGTCATAAACTAACATAAACATAAACTTGCTTATGTTAGTCTTATTCCTATTTCCATTTTAATTCCCTAGCTTGTTTGTTCTTTATCATAAGCTGCACTAAATCTTTTATAAAAGTATTTGTCAATAGGTAACATTAAAAATGCTTATAAATATAATACTGAAACACATAGATATGGTATATTATTGGGGTTTGTGTGACTATTTTTTTCCTTTTTCTTTTTTTAGAGTAGTGAATTGAGCCTAGAACATAAGGTATGCTCAGCAATAGTTCTACAACTGAAGTACACTTCTAGTCCTCTTTTTCTTTTATTTTCAGACAAGATCTTGCTAAATTATCCAAGCCGGACTCCACCTTGCAGTGTGCTTGCTTCAGAGTTCTGAGCAGTTGGAAATACAGGTGTGCACCACTATACCCAGCTTAGATGAGGCTATTCTTAGTCACTTATGAATGAAAACTTTATGCAGTAAGTAAGCATTATAGGGAGAGGAAAATATATAGTTCATCTGAAACTGACCCTAACAAACATAAACATAAATTTTCTAAGAGGGAAGTTGCAAAAGCTTCCAAAAATTAATTTGTTCTAAACAAAGAGTAGACTTCAACATACATGTGCATCTTTATAATTATATTAAAGAGTATAATGAAAGCAAATATTATCTGCCTGACAAGAAAATAATTCCAAAGATTAAATATCCAAACTACTTAATTTGAAGAAACAGAAAAGATAATTTAAGGTCAAATAGTTCCTGGTGAAATAAAAGATCCTGATAAGATACTCCAGAGTAATATAAGACTATCCTCCAAAGGGTATGCCTAGGAATAATTCCTTTAAAAGGTTTATTTGGAGTCTCCAATATGACAAGTATTAATTGGTGCTGGAGATAAACACTTGTGAAGAAAATATTTACAAACTTTAAGTAAAGTAAGCTATAATGTAAATGGAAAGAACTTTATATGTGAAGTACTACACTGTAAATGAAATAAATCAGCATCATGTGAAAAGAGCAATTGGAAATAGCATGTTTCTCAAGGAGGATAAGTCACATAAAGCAGACCAATAAAAAGAACAGTTATGTACAAAAATCCTGAGGCATAAAAATAAATGATAAGCCCATAGGAATGTAACAGTGAACATAGTAAGTAAACAGGCTGGCGATAAGTAATGATGTTAAAAGAACAGACAAGGGCCACAAACAGTAAACAATTTTATTGTAAACATAACATGAAGACAGTGGTTTTAAACAAGTGAGTGACCTTGATCCAGGATTAAATGATCTGATCCTGATGCTATGGGAGAAAGGATAGCCAGTTGAGTACTGCAGAAACAGAGTATGTGGTACAGAAGCTCAAGTAAGAAATAACAGTTTACATGGGAGAATAAAAAGGGGCAGTGTTAGTGCAAAGTTAACAAGATTTGAGAATGCATTAAGAGAAGGAATAGGTGAAGAGACTAAGAACCAAAGACGAGTTTAGTTTTTTGACATGAAGAAATGGATACCACCTTATTTACCAGAAGCAAGGAGAAGAATAGGGTTTTACAAGATGTGTTTGTGAAAATCAGTTGGTCTGGACTGATCCTGGGATGCTGGTCAAGTATACAGAAATATAAAACTCAGGGGAGATTAGATTTCAAAGCAAAACTTCAAACTAATACCTTCTTAATATTTCAAGTTTAGGGGACTGGGAATTTAGCTCAGCGGCATAAGCGTCTGCCTTGTAAGCAGGCAGTCGTGAGTTCGATTCTCCGTACCGATAAAAAGGAAAAAGACAAAAAAAAATTTTAAGTTTCATGACTACATGAAATCAATCTAGAAATCAATGACGAAAAGAAAACAGACTGCCTTAGGAATATTGAAATTTGGTGAGAGAAGAACAAGAAGCAGGTGAAAAATTAGGATCATAAAATTCAATAGAATCTAAAAAAAATAAGTAAACAGAGAAAGTAGGTGAGCAGTAGAATAAGGACCAAGAAGCGATCACGGGGATTGAAAACACACAAAGTTATCTATAAGTCTTACTCAAGGCATATATAATGGAGTCACAGGAAAAGCCAAACTGCCAAGCAGGCACTTACGCGGCTGAGCTAAATCCCTAGCCCCACTGGAGGTACCTTTTGAGAAGGTTGGCCATGAAGGAAGCAAGGAGCAGGAAGGAGCCGGTGGGAAAAACACAATCAAGGGAAGTTTCTGTGTTTTGAAAATTCAAGAGATTCTAGGATGGAGTAAGAATGATTTAGTAATGGCAATTTGGAAAAGGAATTAACTGCAGGACCAAATTTCCTGGAAAGGCAAAGGATATGTAATTATGAGGTTTGTGTCTATAACTTAGAGGAACTATGATTACTATCATGAAAAAATTCAGAGTAACAGGAATAAGTTATATACCTTCCTCTTTTTTCTCACCTACATCATCTCCCCTGGATAATAGCAACTACTTTTCTTTTTTTTTTTTTTTGTCTTTTTCCTTTTTATCGGTACCAGGGATTGAACTCACGACTGCCTGCTTGCAAGGCAGGTACTTGTGCCGCTGAGCTAAACCTCCAGCCCCAGCAACTACTTTTCTAACAGGCCCAGAAAAGTACAAAGGAAATGGAAACAATTTCTTCTTAACATTGCTATCAGCTACCCACATCTCACACCATTATTTCTGAGTATGTGATGCATCTTTAAAATCCTCAATGGCAACAGTTTGGCCCATGGTTTAAAAAGTGAAAAATAGCATTCCTTAATATGGTATTTAATGTTCACTAAACTTTTAATTATAAACATTTTTCCCAATCTCGCTTCTAACAGTTTGTCATTATCGTTATTTATCTTTCAATAGCTAAAACTATATATGAAAATTTGGATTTTTGGTGTGTTAGTCTACTCACCAGCTTCACAGGATTAGAAACAGTAATCCAAAGAAGCACATCATCAAAAGCTATCATGTACTTAATAGTAATGAGTAATACACAATATAACAGAATATTACACAATGTAACAGAAACACCTAATACAGTAGAGGTGGTTTACAAAGGCTTATGAAAAAAGTCATTTTTAAATGAAAAGCTAAAGAATATCATCTCAAAGCTAAACATAAGAGAAAAATACTTCCAAGAATAAATTGTATAGACTGTAAAACCTCTGAAGAAAATGAAGATGACTTATTTAAGAAGATGAAATCTTTTTAGACTATAGAGAACTTTTAGAAACAGAACAGCAAAATGAAGGGGGCTGGGGATTTAGCTGGAAAAGGCCTAAAAAAAGTGCAAGTCTCTGTAAGGCAAAGTAAAGCCTTTGAGCCAAAGAAGTAACACAATCATATTTGCATTTTAAAAGACCCCACATTAGAGCATGGATTATATGGACTGAGCTGGGGAACACTTCAGAAGTTCTTATTATAATTCAATAATTATCAATTCCAAGTAACCATGTGATATTTTAGGCACTTTGATACCTATTATGTATTTTTAAAACTTTGCTGTTGGTGATTCAGATACACATTTCACATCAGATTCCTCAAAATGAGAAAAACAAAAACCTGATAATCTTACCAGTATTCTTCCTCTGGGATTTTATCCAAAGGTGGATTCAGGCAGTAAATATGATAGGCCATATTACACTCATCACAAAGAAGCTGCATGTTGGGATCACGCTTCTCACCACATTTATGACAAGAGCACGTGTGACATTTCTTATCTGGGTCTCCACCACACAGGTCACATTCAGGGTCATTTTTCCCTATTAAGAGCAAAATTATAGCAAGTGTCATTTTAAAATAATTTTCACACTAATTAGCTGTGTAAAGGAAAAATATATGAAACTAGCATATATATAAAGAAGGAACCAAAAACACTAATCAAGTGGGAAAAACTAAAGAATAATGACTAGCCCTCATCCCAGGCTTCTTAAATTAGAATTTCAGGAATGTGCTCAGGTTAATGTCAGTGAAAAATCTAAAGGCAGCAAATGCCAATGTACATTTTTGCCTTAAAAGCTGTATTATGTAAGAGGAATGCCCCCTCCACATTCCCCCTAATGTTCTCCGTGATACTCAAAGGCTCGAACTTTAGGGCACCATAGAGTATCTTAAAACTTCAAGAGAAATGTAATTTGTTGAACAAAGGTAGTGTGTAAATGCAACTGGTTTCTATTTCTTTTGGCATTTACATGCCGTGAAAATGTTACTGAGACATTAATGGTCCGATGAACAAGGAAAGACCGAAAAATTCTGGAGAAAAACTTAAAGACAAATAGTTTTCCCATTCAAAGAACATAAATTAATACCTGGGTCTTTATTTCTACTAGATTAGCAAAAATTAGTATTTAGTATTGATAAAACTATGGAGAAAATGGAAGGCTGATGGTGAGAATGCAAATGATTAATCATTTGAAAGACTACTCACAATCAGACAAATTTGGACTCTCTTATTGGAAGGCATTTTTTTCTATTGTTACACTGAAAATAAATTTATGTGGTCTACAGTTTTAAACCTCCTTCCAAGTTATTCACTGGTCAGTAAAAAAACAATGTCCTATCATGTATACCACATGCAGTCTAAGCTTTAAAAAACCCATACTTAAAAATTTTCCATCTGCAAATGAAAGAGGATGGGCTCCAGGCTTCTCAATCTTGAAGATTTCTTCTACAAATATTACCCTGCAGTCATTTAATGTTCCTTCTGAACCCCTGTTTAACAAAGAAAGAAAAGAAAATTGACTTCTATAACAAAATGTACACAATGGCAAATGCTAATCAGAAATTAGTTTGGAAACCCACTACTTTGTCTGCCTACTTACAAATTGGGATTGTATCTATTGTAATCATGCTGAATTTTTTTTTTTTTAAATAAACAGTGTCTCATTATATAGTCCAGGCTGGCTTCAACTCACAATCCTCCTGCTTCAGTTTCCCAAGTTCTGGGATTACAGATATTAGCCACCATGCCTAGTTATCACTTCCAACAGCAGAGAATTTTAAAAAGTTAGTTAACATTAAAAGTCAGATATAATTTTATAGTGTCATCAAAAAGAAAAGCCAGAGACTTTGTTTCTCAGATTATCTGACAAAAAAAACTGCTATCTTGGACATTTAGTCTAAAAACTATAGCACACTGGGAGGCCAAAGCAAGAGTTCAAGTTTGAGTTTAGATGGGAAACAGTGAGGACATCAAAATTTCAAAAAGAACTAGCACATAGCTAAGCGTGAAGGCCCTGGATTCAATTCCCAGTGCCAAGGGCACAGGGGGTAAAGATGGCGAAAAAGAGAGAGAAGCAGATTTTCACACACAGTGTTGTATTTCTCACTCTCAATTTGTATCTATTTGCAAATACTTCTTTAAACTTTTCTACAATGACTGAATTTGTGTATTTGTCCTTAATCTGTAAGCTTTTGAAGTATATTTTGAAGATACATTCATTAGATGCGCACAGATTACACTATTTTACAGACATATTCTATACCACCTTTTTGTTGTTAGCATTTATGTGGAGACCTTTCCTATTCTTCCACTGTTTAAAGAAAAAAAAAAAACCTGAGACAAGGTCTCCTTATATAGTTCAAACTGGCCCTGAATTCACTATGTAGCCCAGGTTGGCCTCAAACCTGCAGTGATCCTCTTGTGTCTCATCCTCCCAAATACTGGGATTACAAGCATGTGTCACCATGCCTGGCTTCTTTTAAAACTTTTAATGTCAAATAGTACACAAATAAAGAATGCCACATAACTGGGCAATTAAAGTGCATTCTCTGAGCTGAGGAGCCATGATAGAAAATAAACTACCTCAAAACCGTTGATAGGCCCCTCCCAATAACAACTTCTTCATACTCTCCTAAAAGTCATGTTGACCTTACTTCTTAACACCTGTCCACCTCCATAAACACATGAAATAGTTTTGCTTGTTTTAAATAGCTGTATCTAGAAATTCCCACACCAAGTCTTTCTTCCGGGCAATTTGTTAGAGAAGTCCCACATTTGTGCACATTTCTTCAGTGCATTTCCAAAATGTAATCAAAATAGCTTTTGTGGTCATCTGTATTTTGTGTGAAACTTGCAAGTACACACTAACATTTTCTGTACAAATTTAGGTCTAATGGATATTTATATATATTTACATGTGTTTTTTCTTTCTTCTCTTAAACAGAAAATCCTAGTCCTCAGATGCCTAAAATACTGTAAACATGCTTGCTTTTTCATACATTACATATAATTCTTACATACAATTGCTGAAAAGTATAAACTTTCTACTTTTCCTTTTCTTTGGTTATAATATAGCACACTCTCAAATCATTAATTGCTGTATACTATACTTTCTTCGTGTCCCTCAATTCCTCTGCTGGGGATCAAACTCAGGGGCTTCAGAACTATAGTTAAAACAATTTTCCAGTGGGCTAGAGATCCCTGGACCCTTAGCCCTAGTTCTAAATGCAGAAATGTAAAAAATGTTTACCACTACTCTTTATGTAAAATCTCTCTACTTGATTTAGTTCTTCAGATTTCTTAAGATTTCTTAGGCCAGAGTCATAGAAAGAGTACCTGTTTCTAATACCCTAATAATGCTTTATCTATACCATTTATACCACAGACTAGATTGGCTAGACAGTTATCTTTGGCTCACTCTAACTCATACTTGTCTTTCTGGATGCTTTCTTATCTGAAATGATGTCATCTAAACCTTATTTTCTCTTTTTCCTCTACCTTTGTATGGAATTCGATCAATCTTTTCCTTTCACTCATTGTTAAAAATCATAAAATCCCTGAGCCCTTAGATGCTGATTTTAGGGGTTTTTTTGCAAATTTATAGCCACAGAGCTCATTTTCTTTTAAGAGTTCAAAATTCTGCCAGATGAAATCTAACCTAATAAAAAAGCAGGTCAATGGTTGCTTGGGGCCAGTGAGGTGGTGGGAATGACTACAAGTGGTGCTGTGAAAGCTTTTGGGGGTGATGAAAACATTCTTCAATACAATGCAGGATTAGATGTATACATTTCTCAACATTTCCTGAATTGAACACTTACTGTGACTATCTACAGGGCATTACTTACAGGATACCCTCTTCCCCTCATGAAAACACAGATGGTTCAAATCCCTTACATAAAGTAAAAAGACTAATTTTTGTCTCTATAACTTATATACATCATTTCTGTGTATATTTAGATTCATTTCCAGTACAAAAACAAAACAAACAAACAAAAAGTTTATTCATGATTGGCCTTCATTATCTAAATTATGCCTCAAAACAATTTTTATTTTTTATTTAAAGAAAATAAAAACAATGGTACAAAATTTCAAGATTGCAGAAAAGTAACAATGGTTAGGACATTGCGTATTGTCATCTTCAAAGTTGTCGTTCATATTACAAGATACAGGCATGAAAGATCAAATAATATAGGCAAAAACTTTCTTTAAAAAATCTTTCTTTTCAATGAACAGCTATTAGTAGTATAACTATCTCAACTATTTTGTGTATTTTTTTTCTTTTACTTTCTGTCTTTTCTCCTTCCCTTCAACCCAGGTTCTTTCCTTTTGAACAGTTTATTCCCATTTTAGTCTCTATTGTATATTTTGGATATTAGTCTTTCAGGTTCATATACTTGGAAGACAATACAATGTTTACACGAGCAAGTCTGATTTATTCCATTTATGAGTATGGTTTCAAGTTGCATCCATTGCCTTATAATATCTCGAGTTATCCTTTATAGCTTAGTATTCCGTTTTATAAAAATACCACATCTTTTTGGCCATTCCTTGATTGGTGAGCATTTGGGTTGCTCCCAACATTGAGCTAAAACAAACTGTGCTGCTATAAACATGGGTGTACATGTATAGCTGTAGTATATTTTTAATAATTCTTCTGGGAAGATATCCAGAAGGGGAATAGCTGGGTCAGGTGGGTCAGTCTAATCGTAATTTTCTGAGGACTCTCCACCCTGATTTCCATAGTGGCTGCACTAGTCTTCACTGCCACCACGAAAGCTTACTTTCTGAGGTCTCCTGATTGCATTCTACCACCTTGTTTTTAACTGGATGTCTGTTTTCTTTGTCCTACTCAATCTGGATTTTGCTCTCATTCATTTCTGCTCAAAATGAGGCTTTGGAATGAACCTTCAGATGACTAGAGAGTTTATAGGGCTATAATCCCATCAGAATTTACTGAAAACACTTTCTACTTACCCAATTTGAGATGAATACTCCTCTTAGTTTTTCTGCTATGTGAATGATCTGTTGTTACATACTAAATCAAACTGAGTAGCCTACAATAAAATTACCTTGGTTTCTGTGAGTCAGAAATTGGGGGACAGTTTAGCTTAGTCTTTTATGAGATTGCAGTCAAGCTTTTGGCCAGGGTTGCTGTCTCATCTGAAGACTCAACTGAGGGAGCCATCAACAGGCTACCTAAAGAGCTTCACAACACATAAACTGACTTCCTCCAAAAAAAATGAGTGTAGAGTAACCAAAACAGAAGACATAATCTTTTTACAACTAAGCCTCAAAGTGGTATACCTAACGGTTCTGTTATAGTCTGCTTAGAAAACACTGGAAGAACTACACAAGAGTATTAGAAAGCAGAAATCATTGATGTTTATCTTAAAAGATAGCTACCATAAATACTAGCTTATATAGCTACCTTCTCTTCCTTTTAGAGAGCCAGTGGTATCATAGGTATGGAAGCCTGTGGTTTATTCTTCCAGACATTTTGGAACTTGTGAAAGATGTCACATCACATTGTTGTATATGTTGACCATAAGTTTTGGGATTAAATATTTTAAGTTGCTTTTTATTTAGGAATTTGGAGACAACAAGTCTGTGCTGTTGTCAACTTCCTAGAATACCAATTATCCTCTTTGTACCTTGTATAACTACTTACTTGTTTGCTTTTTAAAAACAAGTTATAAGGACATGACACATGATAAGTTAGTTCAGACTGGCCTTAAGCTCATGGTGATCTGCAGGCATGGCCACCACCCTTGGATCATGAGTTTAAAAAACCCTTTTGTGTAAGCAGTTTTAGGATCTTCACTTTAACGTAGTTTGTTGATCTTTATTTGTAGAATGTTTAATTCCTATACAGCAAATGACTAATAAAATACAAAATATATAATAAAGTATTATCTGTTTTAGTCTGAATTGCCTTCTGGATTTATGTATCATTCCAATTTCATGATGGTATTAATTTGTCAATAAAGCCTTGAAATTTTGGTGGTTACACAGACTAGACTGCCAACTTATAACAGTGTTACTTTATTCAATGGAATGTCACAACTTCACTTTTTTCAATGAAATGCCAAAATCTCAACTTCACTTATCAACTCCATCTTTTGCATTATTGTTTCTGTGCAATTTTTCCCACTTCATTATCACTTCTGTGAGTGTTCTGTTTTATACTTAGCTGTCCCCTGGTCCTTAATTCCTTCCTGCATTTCCATGTATCTGGGACTTACTTCCTTCTGCTCAAAAAACTTACTTTCGCTATTTCTTTTAGTGCAGAGCTATGGGTGATAAATTGTCTTGGACTTTATTTGACAGTATTATTTTGGCTTCAATTTTTTAACAATATCTTTATTAGAAACTTTTTTAAGCTGAAAATTTTTAATGTTTTCACATGCTATTCACTGTCTTTATAGTATTTCTGATGAAAACAATCATCCTGTTTTTACCACTATTTTTTATTCACTTGTGATATACTACA